TATATTTATTAATGTGTGTGATATTCTGGTCTGATATTTTATGTTTATTCATCTCTGTCTTTGGATTAGCTGTACTGTGTCTCGGGTCTCAGTTGAGAGTCGTATACCTGTATACATCATCGGTGTGTATAATACGGCTCAAAGTCTTTAAATCCAATGGGATCACTCGCGTGGAATGTGCGCTCGACAGTGTGTCGCTCAACCGATCGAGAGTTTCGAGATCGATCAGCCTAATGGGCACTACTCTACTCTACTCGACGGAGTCAAAGATTTTTGTCGTGTGTCAAACCATGACGATAATGCCACTAGCTATAATGGAGACCACCGTGTTCAAGTCATCTCTTATTGCTATTTACAGGCTTATTGCCGACGAGTTCATTTATATTAGTTATCGAATAATTTTTATTTGTCCAATTTATAAATTAATAATAAATCAATTTATAAAATATATATGTATTCTTTTTCATAGTTGGTTTTTTTTATTACGAAACAATTTTTTATTTATCAGCAACTATTTATTTGTTTTTATTGTTGACGTTTAATCGAACCATTAAAAGATAAATTTATTCATAATAAATTTCATAATCGCATCTAAAAAAATAATGACATAATTAAAGTCCATTTGGCCTGCAAAAAAAAATAAATAATAATAAATTACATAAAAAGTTGTAAAGACGGGTAAAAATAAAAATAAAACAATTAAAAAATATAAGTGTGAATCTTACAAAAGCCCAGGTTGACATCTACTAATGGTTAACTGGATGCAGGTATGCGGGTGCGATCGACAAGCTGTAGATCCTGATATAGTGCCGTACGTGATTCATTATATTCTCCCGTTTATTGCTAAATCGAATTATATGACAATCACGAATATATCGCAAAAGCGAAAATTTTTTTTATACTGTTTATGGAAAAAGAATTATACAAATATAGAGAAATATTCGGGAAAAAAGATATTTTTAGAATACTCAAAAATTTTTGTTTTTATCTACATTAATTCAATATTTTGAACAGTAAATAATTAAGCAATAATTTCTTAAATCGCAAAGTATAAATAATAATTCTAAAAAATTTTATTTTATCTGTAATTTTTTTCAATGAAAATTATTCAAATTAAAAAAAAAAAATTATGTATACTTAAGATTTATAAATCTTCAAAAAAATTTTAATTTGATAAATATTGTCTTGATACTCGTAATAATAATTTGTAAAAAAAAAAATAATCCTACGAATATTTTTTTCTTGAGGGTTATTCCTTTCCCTTAGCTGCATGTTTAATAGTCACTCGATACATCTATAAATCGTAATTAAAGATTATTATTGCAATTAAATTAACGATACAAGTTTTAATGATAAATAATATAGATCTTGAACACGCGAGATAATTTTATCCTTGCTCTGGAATCTTTTGTGAAAAATACCGATATAATAATGAATATAATTAATAATGAACATTTGTAAAAAAAAAAAAATATAGCATTATTTTTTGGCGTGAGACGGGAACGAAGACATGAGACGTCAACAGCGGTGTTGGTGAAACTATCCGGTAGAAAGTTCAAGGAACAACTCTTTAGCAGGTCACTCGTAGTCTTGACTGTCGATCGTCGATCGCCGATCGTGCAATCGATAAAAACAACTTCCCAATACAGCGCACTTGCCACAAATGCTTCTGACAGTCGAACCGCGAGTGCTTCAAAGTATATTTACGTTTTTTTTTTATATTAACAAAATACCTAATAAATAAATCTCGTTTCTCATATATCATATTTTATATTCAAAGTACAAGGTCTCAATAATAACAATAATAGTTATTACCAATGTGGATAAAAAAATAAAAAAATAATAAATAAATCTCGAGTGATCGAATGCTCAGAGAATTTATCCGAGTCCTTCGCCGACTTCCAAGTTGGTTCATCGATAGTTGATCGGTTTCTGTTGCGATACTCCCGTAGGACGGCCTCAGCAGCACAGCTAACAGCTACAGCGAGAACCAATATAGCTCTCGATAACTAAACGTATGATACAACGAAGGTAACGATCCGAGACTAAGACTAAGACCGAGACCAAGACCATCAAGTCTCAGTCGATGACGACCAGGAGGAATACCGGTTTTCTCTAACAACGTCTAACGACAACCGCATCAATCAAGGGACATCCGATGATTCCACTTTACCTCGGCTTGCCCGTTCATCGGTTCGTCCAACATTTAAAAGACTTTTTAAATTATAATAATTGCTTCTGGTGTAAGAGAAGCTTTTTTTATGATATAGATTTAAAAATTATTTAGATTACACAAAATACATTTAAGATATGCGTTGTCAGGAAATTTTTTATCAATTGAGCGGTAAGGAAGATTTTATGCTAGTAATTTGTCGGTACTCAATATTATTTTGAAAGTGAAGCGAAAAATTTATTACTCATAAATTCAATGTAAAATTTAGGAAGCAAATATTTTATAAATTCATTTTCATAAGATAGAAATTTCAAAATTTTATTATTTGAATGGAACTTAAATATTCTTAACATAAATTGACAAATTTTCTAAAAGCCAATTAATATAATTTAAAAAAAAAAAAATTTTTTTTTTCCAAAGTGTAAATTGTAAAAATTAAAATTTTGTTTGAAGAACTTTTTCTTTTTTTTTTTATTTTGGTAACAGTTTCTAATTTTATCGATAACCACGATCACCAGACTTTGTAGACTCAAAATTCCCTCGAGTAGTGAACTTCGTTATTGACCGAGAGCGGTTACAATGTGCAGTGTAAAAAAAAATGTTGAATCAAGAGCTGACACCACATTTACAATCTAAATTTGCTGACGTTTTTTTTTTTTTCTTATTTTTTCAATTACAATATTTTAACTTTTAAAACAACGTGTTTTTTCTATCACTATTACACGAGAGTATTGAAGAAAAAATAAAAAACTGTAAGATAAAGGTCAAGAGATAGGTGATGAATAGATTTTGATATTACAAAATAATTATTACGTGATTTAAATCTGAGATTCTTCGATATATATTTATAATTCCCGTTTGCTCAATACTCCTAGCATTCGAGTCGAAGAATTGGGCATCTGGTGTGCTGAGAATAACGGACTCTGCATCTATACTATTAATTAATTCGGTATAAATCCATCGAACACAATAACGGAGATAACCATTAATTTATCCTTTCTTATTTTTATTAAAAGTTCGCCGGGTGCTTACTATAAATCTTTAAATCTTCATAATGAGGTTCAATTACATATTAAAGTGAGACAAGAAACATTTCTTTAAAATTTGTCTCTGAAAAATGAATTTTTGGCTCAACTAAATATTTATTCGTAATAATTATAATTAATAATAAATAATAAATCAGTAGAAAATTGTTTAATAATGATAATCACAACGTGAATTACCATACGGCTGATAAAAAAAATAATAAATAATGCAAGAATTAGTTCAAGTATTTAATAATTAATTGTGAGCATTAATCTTATCAATGAATTCAATCAAGTTAATGAGACAAACGACATTAAATTTAAAACACTTGTCTAAAAAATTTACAGTTGCAAAACAGCCCGTACTCTTATAAATATAATAAATAAATTATAATGATTAATCGGCATGTTAACTCAGTAGCACAGTAATATTTAATCGGTTTTTATTTATATTAGTCGCCGCGCAACAGGTACAACGTGTTCCGTACCTCGAGAATACTCGCGTACACTCAGTTACTCAAAAAAGTAAATAAGGAAATCAAACATAAAAAAATAATAATAAATAACAAATAATAATAAAAATTTAAGAATTATAATGATAATAAATAAAATGACATATAATCTGAGCTGGTGTATTTGTCGAGCTCGCATGATTTCAAGTCCAGTACCACCCGACATTCAGAATTAACAACGTGCATCATGCTCATACTCATACGCATTATATATAGATATAGATATATAGATGTGTTCAGTGATCGCGGTATTGCTTACCTTTGCTTCATTTTACATTTTACATTGAACAGTATTTCAGTTTTTAAGTCCAATTTCACGTTCGAGTCGTATCAAGTGAAACCTTTTTGCCGGCGAACATCTTTTTAAAACTTTTATTAAATGTAAAATGTAAAATTGAATTAAATAAAACGGTAGGAAAGTAAGTTTAAGATACCACTATTATATGCAATGTAGGTATATATTTAATATGACGAATGAGAACAAACTTTTTTATTCGCATCTACCTGTCGAGTATTCCAGCCAATACAACTCGACCATAAACTTTGCCCAGTATACAACAAGACTCTAGTAATTTCATCGACGGTACTTATGTGTGCATGGTTATGCACCCACACGTGCTCATTATTTTGTTATCGTTTTAAAGTATAAATATTTAACTTAATGTTTATGTATACGTGCCTCAATAGCAAAATAAAATTGACTGGCGGAATTTTTATTATTATTATTTTTGATTTCTTAATATTAACGCATTCTCAATCCTTTAATTTAAAGTTATTTTTATTGAAAATTTTAATCACAATATTTGAGCGAAAATTTTTGATGTATTTGGTAATTTTTATTTAATTAACAATGAAATTAATAATGCAAATTCACTGAAAAGTACAAGGAAAACTTAAAAAAAAACAAGTAATTGTGAAAATCCAGGTTCGACTTCTGACTTGATCCAATTCTATTATTTGTTTTAAAGCTAGTCTGGTTCTTTTCAATTAATTAAAATTATAAAATTTATTGTTAATTCAACAAAAATCACTAAAATTGCAAAAATTTTTCCTTAAAAGTTGTTAATAAAATTTTCAATAATGATATAGTTAAATTAAAATATTGGGAAAGCTTTAATAGTACAAATTTAAAATTGATCAATCTCAACAACTAATTGTTGTTGTTATTATTAGTATTATTAGCAGTAGTAGGAGTTGTAGTAGGGCATAAAATAATTGAATTCAGTTAAATTTTTTTACTACTTTATGATCTTAAATAAATAAATAAATAAAAACTGGTTTATAATATAGATAAGTGGTAAGATTTGTTAACCGGAAGCCTGTAAGTATTGAGTTGGACATTGAGCAATATTATTGTCCATTAGTGTTGAATTACGTGAGTGCATTATGCTGCAGATTTTTTACTTTATCTATTTATATAGACTTTTTTATGAATATTATTGTCCAAGACACTTCATCATCTTTTATTGTCAACAGTGACTTAACGCATTTAATGTCTTTAAATGTAATTGATGAAAAAGTGTGTAAGAGTTTTATTTGTGCTTGTGTAGTATATATATATGTACATAAAGCTCGGAAGAGTGAGAGAGAGAGAGAGAAGGTGAAGTAAGTAGTTTGGATTTTAAATTATTCGTAGCAAATGCTTACAGTAAGTACTTACTAAGACAAATTGTCTACACAATTCCTCTGTAATTACGCCGGCACTGATACACTACTGCAAGTACTCTTCATTATTACACTATAAAAAATTAAAGGAATAAAAGTGGTTCTTAAAAAGTTTACACGATCTATTTTCTGGGTAGAAAATTCCGAATTAAATTTTTGTACTTTACTTGTAAGTACGTATTTTTTTTTTTACCTTAAATTAAAACTCTTCGATGAAAAGAAAATTAATTTATTTTGTAGATAATTAAAATCTCAAACTTGTAATCAATTATCTCTTTTTAAAAACATTAGTAAGTAATTTCTATTAAGCAATCGGTAGTATATTAATTAAAAAAAAAAAGAATATTTCTCAATTGACAAAAAATTTATAGTAATCACTGTTTAATTTTTTTTTTAATTCTTGTACTTTTGTAATTTTTATTAGGCTATAAATTATCGTCGTTGATCTAAGTTGGATTGTAAATATATAAGATAGTTAAAAAGTAAATTTATTCTTTTATTATAATAATTGAAAAAATTTAATTATACACTTAAAGTCAAAAAATATTTGTCGGTAACAAATAAAACCATCATAAAAATGTATTGATAGGTGTTTAATATTCAGATAGTTGATAGTTGATAGTGATATTTAAATATTAAGAAGAAAAAAAAAAGATTATTTAAATTAAAAACAAAAAAAAAGAAGTTAAATTTTGTGTACTCAGTAGAACGCTGATGTACCAGTAAAAATTGATGCAATAAAATAAATTTGTCAATCGTAAATAAAAGAGATACATTAATTGAGTAGATTAAATACAATGTAGCAATAAAGATATCAGAATATAAAATAAAATAAATACCGAAAGAAATGGAAGTAATCCAAGCAAAGTAAGTTTGCAGAAATGCATCGAGTAATTGTAGAATCTACTGGCTGGATACGAGTTGTCGGTTAGTTTAACGTGACGGGCGTCTTTTACGTGGTTTGGGTTTCTCGCGGCTCGCGGGCTTCTGTTATGTCGTCGATTGGCTTCACGTATGTGTTATGTGTATGAGGATATACATAAATGTACATGTAAGGTGCAACGGGAGACAGTGCGATGCACTTACACCACAGAAGCGCATCGGAGTATCAGAATAAGTACCAGCGATAAGTTGCAACGCGAAGCTCGGAATAAAATGGCGATGGAAGGAAAGGAGGCTCGGAATTGCCCAGAAGCTGCCAGTGGAAATAAAATGTCGTATGTGTAATATGGAAGATAGAGAGTAGCGGATATGTAAGTAAGGAGAATACAATAACAGAAAACACGGCGACCTGAACGCCAGCTGGACAGAATCAAAAGCATCCGCACCCTTTGTACCTTATTCCATTCCTCGTTCCTCTTGAATCATAGCTTCTGATCTTCTGGATCTTTTGCATGCGCCACATAGCCATATAGTAGCTCCGTGGCCTTATCCGTGTATTTCAGCGGTCTTCTTAGGCATTTATGTACTTAAAAATTTTTTTTTATTATTCTGTTATGTTACGTTGCTTTTTTACTTATACTTATATCTCGTGTGTAATGTCCTCTTGCTCGAACTTGTACTTTTACTTTCAGGGTACATACGCGAGCCTGTCAACCGGCCACAGCAAGCGACAATGCTCGATGTGAGATAAAACCTACTGGAACTTATACTCTCACTGATCGAGGGACAACAAACAGGAGCCCAAACGCAGCAAGAGAATGGCAAATAAAATTTATTTAAGATAAACTGAGGATTCAAATGAAAAATAAAAATTTGTTCGGCTCTATGCATCGTCTGTAAATTTTTTTTATTTTTATTAATAATAATTCAATTTTTCTAAAATGCTTTTATTAATTTGAAATTTTATATTAAAGTTTAAAAAAATAGACACATTAGGATGAATTTGAAGGAAGAAAAATAGTAAAAAAATAAACGTAGAATTTGGTACATTGAAAAGAGTTCGACGAGACCACCAGAGAATCAGCAAAGTGGGAGAAAGCACCTTTTTCGGTGTCACCAAAACTCGTTTTCACCACAAAGTTCGATGTCTCGAAATCCAGGGTGTACTTTTTTATTTATTTATTTATTTTAGTACTTTTTTTTTCGCCAAATTCGACACAGAAATATTCTCATCCGCATTATATTAGTGGATATTATTATTACATAAAAAGCGATAAATAAATATATATCCGTAATATGGAATATATGTTAAAGTCTAGTGAGTGTTTTTTTTTTTTTATTCAGAAATCATAGAGTAATATTATCCTAATATTTCATGTGTCGGCGGTCATAGCTCCTCGTGACCTCTTGCGACCCCGATGAAGGACTCTCATTTTAATGACTGTGTTGCGATAAATAAAACCATTTCGTCTGGCGCAAAATTATTTTATATATGTATATGTATAATACTAGACACCTCTAAGCTACAATATATATATATATAGTATATACGGCGGTGAGGATATTTACATGGAATTTATCAAGAAAAATTAAAAACCGATGTCTGGCCGATTAAATACTTACGCGACAGTTTTATCTTTTATTGATTGGACTAGTGAAAGAGAGAAGTTACTCCATCCTGACCTTTTCGTAATATCTCATCGTTAAATAATGATAATTTTATGCTTGAAATTCATCTAATTAGCTTTACGATCGTGGATTTTTAAAAACGGAGATAAAAAGTATAGTAAAACTAAACAATTTACCGGTTATTAATAAAACAAACGTGTTATAATCCGTAATGACAAATTACTAATAAATGCAAGAAAAATCTTGAGTTTAATAGTAATAAGCCTCTTCAAAAAACAACAGTCAGATGAATCGAGGTAATTATCATCTCATTTTAATGTTTTACTCCGAGTTCGATGGCTCATATACATAGACATTAGCATCAATACACCCATATATATATTTATATAAATAATAACACATAAAATAACGTGTAACAGCACGCGAGTGTGTTATTACCAATATAACTAAACAGACTGAGTAGAATGAGCATGAACAATCATTTATATCTGTGTATACATAATTAACTAGCCCCTGAGTGTTCATGACTCGAGTTTAAATATTTCCTCATTTTACACTTGGCCTCATAACTTTTATATTATGTATACCACTGATACATAAACATATATTTAATATACCTGCTTTACTAATACGTATGTTTGTATAAATCCTTTCCTAATATAAACTAATACTTTCTATTTTATAATTCCATATACACATGTCTGCCAGTCTAGTGTCTCCTTGATTCTCAGAATATTTATAAGCGGCTCTTGATTCTTGAACGTTAGTCTCATTACACCTGGGGGTTAACATTTTCATTAGCATTTTATAACCTAAGACAACGGTCAAGTGTACCGTAACATACGAGTAGCGTAACAATTTTTATATATGGTTCGATATTGATTATATTAATTTTTTTTTTTCAATTATATTTACTTGTAAAAAAAATAATTTGATTTGAAAGAAAAAGTTTTGTATAAAGTAAAATATTTTGAAAAATTTAATTTCTTTAATTAAGCAGAAAAATTCTTGAATCAAGATAATTTTTTTTGTCATCTAGTTAATTAAAATTTACTTTGGACTCAAACAAACCATTAACTATCAGGAAGAATAACAAGTTTTTTGTTGTTGATAGTTGTTTGTAATTTAATTAAACAAGGGGTTGAATTAACGAAAGAAGAGAAGAATACTTAGCACTAGACGAAGTATATACATCCAGCGGTAGGACGATGGTGTAGTGGTGGATAGGAGTTTATTGTGGAGAACGAAGAGATTTTAATGTTCCTTTTACGAGGCTCTAAAATACCGGCGGTTCATCGCGGGTAGCGGCTTGCTGTTTAGTTGTCTTGGAGTATCACCGGCCGATGCTTGGTCTGTGCTTTCTCTTAATTATTTTACGAGAATTCCTATCCGACGACAATGCTCCTCCGAGGCAAAAACAAGCGGAAACAGCGGTGCAGCTAAGAATAAGACGACACTGGGTGTAGTTTATTGGTGGTGGCTGAGGTGCTGTTGGAACACACTCTTGGGAATTAAGCTCGGTAAATCGGAGGTGAAGAAAGACATCGGATTTCACGTTGTCGGTTGTCTTTTATTTACACATTAAAACCGATAATTTTGTTTTATTCTCTTATAATTATCATTTTAGTCCTTTTTTGTCGTGAGTAAAAATTTTTTACCAGCCTCCACTCTTTAATATTCTATTAAATATTTTTCTCCACGGCAATAAAGTTAAAAATATTTTTTTTTAGCCGTCAAAATAAAATTGAAATATTTTTTTTTTTTTTTTTATCAAAAATCTCACTTGAGTGAATTTCTTTGGATCGAATAAAATAACTGAAACGAGCTCAGCCCTGATAGCAGAGACTGAACCAGAAAGCTTCCAAGTAATCCAGGCAAGCCACCTCGCGGATTCTTGTTATATTACGAGAGTGCATATCTATATAGCAAAGTGCGCGAGAGTAAACTAATATACGAGTAATAGTAATATAACCGTAAGAGTGAAAGAAAGACAGTATAAAGCAGTAGCAGCATCAGTAAAATCTAGTCTGTCTGTCGGACCAGGGTTTCCGCATCGGCTATCAATATCGAAACGAACGATGGATTTACGAGGAAATTCCATATTCGTGCTTGGATGAATGACGAGGGATTCGCGCATGAATAATGCATTGACCCCGAGACGAAATAAATAATACCGAGTCTCTCAATCCGATCTGATTTTCTACGGGTGCGGGTGACTCCGCCAATTTACTACCGTGTTACCTACAAGACTCATTTTTCGGATTGATTTTTCGGGATTTAATTTTTTAATTCATTATATTATATTATAGTTATTGTCTGATTAAAAAAAAAAAATATCACGACAAATAACGAGCGCTTTGATACAGTCACGCCCATTGAAACCGTGTCCCTTTTCTCAGTCGACCTTCGAGTTCCCCTTGTTAAATGAAATAAAAAAATTCATATATATCTATAAAATATAATATGTACATATACATATATATAAATGAATACGTGGACCAAAACTAAAACCCTTTCTCCTGAGCCATTGAGGCACTGAAAAACACCAACGCTTATAAAATAAAACTAAAATACATAACACTGGTATACAGAGAGTATATAACTAAGTAAGTAACCAGAGATGGATTCACACGCTCCTAGAAATATCCAATGGCATATGTGTATAAAAATGAAAGAGATAAAAAACTAAATAAAAAAGCAATCTTTAAAAAGACACACTTGCGCAACAAAATATGTAGTCCTACCTACGATATGTTTTATTTTTTTCTCTTTACTTTATTTAATTTTTTTTTCGTCATTCGATGATGGAACTAGTCACACGAGCTCGAGCTAAGACTAGAGTCAATCCGACCACGACCGAGAGATTGTAGACGTTATTTACAAGTGTCTGCCCGAATGGAAGTGAATGAGCAAACGAGCGAGCAGCGCATCGGCTTATCGGCTCGGCCCAATAAAAAAACTGAACGGAAATCTTAAGGTGGAAAAAAAAAAATAAAATTAAATTCTGCTGGCCCAATTAAGGATTTTTTATGCAGCGCATCGAGATATTAAATCGATAAAAATATTGAGAAAATAAAATAAGACCGCCGGATGTGTCGGCAAAAGTTAAGTGCGGAGGTGTTACATCTATTGACAATAAAAAACAACATTATTTATTTTTTGTTCGATTATTAATTTAATAAATTTATAATATTTACAAGTAGCTGATTTTATTTTTATTATTATTATTATTCATTAAATTGGATTGTAATTTTCTAACTTAAAAAATTCAAGAGTAGACAAAATAAAATAAAGGACTTGGAGTGAATGAAAAAAATATAACAAGTTAAAAAAGTAAAAGGAATAAAAGACAAGCAACCAGGACGAACAGACAGACAATCTCGCCTCGTTTATCAGAGTGGCATTGTCGAGGCATCGTTGCGCCGCGACACCCTCTTTGTTGTTAGTAACATCCAGGGCTCCTCTGGACTACTCAATCCTTTCTTTCATTCACTCACTTATTCTTTTCATTTTTCTCTCCGACACTCGTGTCGTTCTTACACACATGCCCGAATAAACGTCGCCGGCTCATACTGTGTCTTCATACTTTAGGCTTTAATATTCATACATATATGGATACAAAAATAATAATAACAATATCAAAAACATTTGAACTTTCGGGTTTAGTTGTAAATAGAAATAAAAGTTACCGGCAAGATAACTTTATTTGTCACCAATGATTTTTCGATTAGTCTCGGGAATTATTAAAAAGTCATCTAGCATAAATCATCTGGACACTAGCACAATAGACGGACGCTTTATATACATTTTGTCTTATTTTATTTTTTAATTTAATGTATCCCGCTCGGCTCATCTCATCTCATCTCTTCTGGTGTGTGTATGCGCCTATATATGTGTGTGTATGTGGATGACTGCTCGCTATCTATTTAAAAAGCAATTCCACAACCCATAGAGTTATAATGCCTATAGATGACACTGCGGGGGAACAAAAAAAATGGATGTCGCTATCTGAAGCGAGTATCTATCGTCCAGGGACCCACGGCTCGGCTCAGTGTGTGCTGTACCAAGAAGAAATGTAGGGATGATAGGTGATGCACGAGGGAGAAGAATATGTGCTAGAAGTGAGTGTTGGTAGTGAAAAAAGAACCGAGAACCTGGGAGCCGGAAGTTGACGGTACAAAGATGTCATCCGCTGGAATAAGATGAGAGGGTTCGTGCGAGCGAATGGGTATAAGATGAAGAACAGTACGTGATCACCATGACTCTTGTGTCTTTTCATTTTTAAGTGCTTATTCTTATGGATTGAAGATTAGATTAAATTAATGAAATATTGTTTTGCATTTTGTCTGATTTTTGTCTGACTACTTTTTCCGGGTCGTCAGGCCATTGGAACAATATTTTTACTTGATAACATTTTAAATTATAGTAAAAATCAAAAATAAGAAGGAAAAAAAAAATAAAATAGAAATTAAAATTTTACAATATCAAGGAAACTAGGTTCGATGATTCATTTATTCGAAATTCAAAAACAAAAAAATTGTCAAAACATCAATAATATTATTGCCGCTTCTTCATGCAATGGTTTAGTCAACAGCACTAGGATTTAGTAGCGAATTTAGCTTTCCGACCGTTGACCGGTTGCAGAGGCCGAGTGTTGTGGTCGTCATTATTGAAAAGATTCAAATTTTGGAATGCTCTTACCTGCAAGAATAAAGTCATGGGAATGTTATAATTGTAATGGATGTTCATAATTTGAAGTTACTGAAATGGTGAAATTTACTTGTTCCTCTGTGACTTCAATTATTCTATCAGATATAATCCAAGGGATTGACTCAGTACATGGTGGATGTGTCAAAGATCCAGGATAAATTATATAACTGTGGAATTCATTTTGATCCAAAAAATCAGACAATTTGAATGGTTTGATATCTGTTGAAGTTCCTGGTTCAGAAACTTCAGGCAATTTTTCAATGATTTTTGTTAACAAACCGAACTCTTCTTCTCCTAATTTCTATTGATTAAAAGTTTGTTAAATGATTAAAAAACTTGAACTGTGACATACTAAATGAGAATACAATTTGAATATTTCTGAAAGATACATTACGTAAAATAAAGAATATAACACTAGTCCATTTTCGGAGCCTTCAGCTTCTTCATAACTACCAAATTTTCTGTTATAGTTAACTACTTGCATCTCCATTGCATAACTGTGGTAGATTATCAGTCAAGAGAAATACTTATATTCTGATATTTATTAATTGTGTTGTTAATTTTTTTTTTAATAATACCTCTTGCCATCGAGCTGATGTTCGCTTCCATTCTTAATGTCAGATCCCCAACGAAATTGGTAGGAATGTTTAATATATTCGCCATCAAGAGGACCGCCATGAACGTAGGGTACCTTTTCTGGGTCGTTAGGCCATTGAAACGATAGTTTTACTTGATAACATTCAAAGTAATTATAAAAAATAAAAATAAGAATAGAAAAAATAATAAAGAAGAAATTTAAATTTTACATGTGTGGCCATCGTTCTCCAAAATCATTCTTTCAGCTACAGAATCTGCTCCATTTTCAAATTTTATTGTCTCAATTTCAGAACCAAGATCGAAGGAAACATCAATAGGCGATTGCAGTGAACCTCCACATTGTGGATATTCATTCGCCCATTCTTCAGCATTTTTGTAACTATAATCTGATGAAAAATTTTGAATATATATTTCATTATTATAAGCTAAATAATACAATTCACTCTTACCAGCTGATATCAGTGAGACACATGATGATATAAGGATGACATTAATTATGAAAATCATTTTTTATTTTAAAATGAATATTTAAAAATTTTAAAACTTAAGTGTTCAGTCGCTAAATTGTTAATGTAAGGATTAATCGTTACTTAGTGAAGAACTTCTTGTAGAACGTACATAAAATTAATATTCAAACGTCAATGATAACTTATCTTCATAATTGTTCATGGCAATTAAAAATGTAATCTTTAGTAAAATTCCATTATTATTATAAAATCGATTGTTTTTAATCTACAATTTAATAATTATTAAGAAAATTATTTTAAAATGGATTTTTTACTTTGTACTTTTATTAATTAACTTCAAAGTTAAGATGGAGAGCTGAATTTTATGACAGAAGATTTTTTTAAAGACAACATGATTTTTATTTTGGACCAAACTAAAAAGAATGATCAATTTATTTGGCAGTCTAATGTGTGTTTATGTTTGACAATGGACCACTTCCGTTCGGTATATTTTCTTCACCATCAGCTCATTCAAATATTGGTTTTACTACACAATAATTAGAATCATTGGAATAATTAATAGAAAAATACTGATAGTATTTCTATCATATAGATAATTGAATTTTTAATTCATCTCATATGAGTGGCAATCGTTTTTTAAAATCAACATTTTCTTCATAACGTCAAAAAAATTTTTTGTGGATAATAAATAAAGCCTTTACCTACATCAATATATGTAGTCGTCATGTATTGTCACACACATCTTGTTTATAGAATAACGCTAAATTTTTTACTATTTAGATTAAAATGAAAATAATTTTCTGCTTTCCATCTGATTTATATTCAGTATATCAAGCTATCTAGGCTTGATGGTTTATTTATTAGAGATTCAAGAACAAAATCATTTTCATAACATTAAAAATATTATCGTTATGTCTTCATAGATTGGTTGATTCATCAGAACTTGGAATTTTGAGCAGCCTTAGCGCGTCGACCATTGATCGGTTGCAGAGGTCGATTGTTGTGGTCATCATCATTGAGAAGATTCAACTGTTGGAAGGCTCTAACCTGCAAGAATAGAAGGAGAATAAAAGTAAATGTTATAATTGTAACGGATATTAATAAATTGAAGTTAATTAAATAGTGAAATTTACTTGTTCTTTTGAGACTGGAATTATTCTATCAGATATAAGCCAAGTGACTGACTCAGAACATGGTGGATGTGTCAAAGATCCAGGATAAACTACATAATTGGTGGCTTTCTCCTTATCAAAATAGTCACCCAATGCAAATGGTTCGATATCTGTTGAAAGTCCCGGTTGAGCAACTTCAGGCAGTTTTTCGATGATTTTTGTTAAGAAATCGAACTCTTCTTCTACTTGTAATTTCTATTGATTAAAGGTTTGTTAAATGATTAAAAGACTTGAACTGTGACATACAAATCGAGAATCCACTTTGAAAATTTTTGAAAGACACGTTACATAAAATAAAGCATATAACACTAGTCCATTTTCGGAGCCTTCAGCTTCTTCATAACTACCAAATTCTTTATTATAGTGAACTGTTTGCATCTCCATTGCATAACTATGAATGATTTTTAGTCAAAAATAATTTTTATACTCTAACATTAATTAATTGTGTTGTTAATTTTTTTTAATAATACCTCTTGCCACCAAGCTGATGTTCGCTTCCATTCGTAATAGTAGATCCCCAACGGAATTGGAAAGAATGTGTTCTAAATTCACCTTCAAGAGGTCCACCATGAACGTAGGGTACCTTTTCTGGGTCGTTAGGCCATTGGAACAATAGTTTTACTTGATAACATTTTAAATGATTATAAAAAACAGAAATAAAAATAGAAAAATTAATAGAGTAGAAATTTAAATTTTACATGTGTGGCCATCGTTTTCCAATGTCATTCTCTCAGCTACGGTATCATAAATATTTTCAAATATTATTGGCTCATTGGAATCAGAGTCATCAACGAGATGCCAGGTAAGATTGATAGGTGATTGAAGTGAACCTCCACATTGTGGATATTCATTCGCCCATTCGTCAGCATTTTTGTAACTATAATCTGATGAAAAATTTTGAATATATATTTCATTATTATAAGCTAAATAATACAATTCACTCTTACCAGCTGATATCAGTGAGACACATGATGATATAAGGATGACGTTAAATATGAAAATCATTTTTTATTTTAAAATGAATATTTAAAAATTTTAAAACTTAAGTGTTCAGTCGCTAAATTGTTAATGTAAGGATTAATCGTTACTTAGTGTAGAACTTCTTGTAGAACGTACATAAAATTAATATTCAAACGTCAATGATAACTTATCTTCATAATTGTTCATGGCAATTAAAAATGTAACCTTCAGTAAAATTCTATTATTATTATCAAGTCGATAGTTTTTTTTTTGCACGAATAGATAATAATAAAAAAAATATATTGTTTTATATTATTCGAAAATTATAATATCAAAGTTATTACAATGCAATTAATTACTTCGATGTATTTTTTATTTACTTCTTCTTTATCTGTTGTAGTCAAATCAAGTTTGCGACAATTTAAGTCTTGCAAAGGTCGATTATTGTGACCGTCGATCGATAATCTTCGTTAAAAATTAAAATTCTTTGGATTAAATATGAAAATTGTCTCCGGTTGAATATTAAAATCATCATTGTTTAAAAATTGATTTATTTGTAAATTTATACAATATTTAATTTTTCATTATTACTATTGACTGTTACTTATCAAAAATATATTGCAGAACATATGTAAACTTGAACAACTCAAGCAGTTATCATAACTTATCTTTATTATTGTGCATGATAATTATAAATGACCTCCAGTTAAACTCCAATACAAATGTAATATCAACTTTCTATACATGAATTTACGTAAACAGAAATTATCCTATTTAAAAAAAATTTTCCACTATTCAAAATATGCATCCATTTATTTCTGAAAGATTTTTGTCTTACAACTAATAACCAAAACATAATTCTATAATATTTAAATGAATACTGTTAATACAATTAAGCTACTTGAACTAATATATCTTAAATATTATGTAATATAATTAATTATTTTTATGGAACTTCATTGACTTATTTCATGCCTTTGACAACCAATTCAAATTTGCGATCATTTATTTCTTGTAAAGGTCTATTGTTGTGATCATCATTATTGAGGAGATTTAATTTTTGAAACGCAAGCAGCTGTGAAAATACAAATATTCAATAATGTTACATAATTTTCATGAACACCAAAAATTTAGTACAATGAAATTTACTTGTTCCAAAGTAGCTGGAATAATTCTATCAGATACAACCCAAATAACTGACTCATAGCATGGTGGATGTGTCAGAGATCCTTGGTAAACGAAAAAATTCGCGGAATTATCGTCATCAAAAACATCTCCCATTGCGAAGGGTTCAATTTCGGTAGCGGTTCCTGGCTCTGTGACTTCCGGAAATTTATCGATGATCTTTGTTAAGAATTCGAATTCTTCGGATCCTACTTCCTGTTGAATTGAAAATAGATCAAGATATTAAACAAGATTACTATAATATGTACATAGATTCGGGAAAAGTTCTAACATAAAATAAAGAATAAATCAATATTCCTTTTTCGGTATTTTCTGCATCTTCATAATTATCATATTCATCGTTATAGTGAACGGATTGCATTTCTATTGGATAACTGTGAACAGTGACACGATTAGTAAAATAACCATAATAATAAAAAATGGAACAAAAAATAATTTTACCTTTTACCGGAAATTTGATGTTCACTTCCAGAATTCACATCAGAGCTCCAACGAAATTGAAATGAATGTATCAGGTATTTATGTTCGAGTGATGAACCACTTACGTAAGGTATTTTTTTTTCACCATCAGCCCATTTAAATATAAATTTTACTTCATAATAATTTAAAGCATTTCAATCATTAATTGAAAAATAATAATAGTACTTCTGTCATAAATATAAGTAAATTGTAACTAGTCTTACATGTGTGGCCGTCATTCTTTAAAATCAATCTCTCAGGTACAGTAGAGAAAATATGTTTAAATTTTATTGCACTAGATTCACCACTAGAGTTCTCAATCTCATCACGGTCAACATCAAGAGGCGATTGCTGTGAACCTCCACATTGTGGATTTTCATTCTTCCATTCACCGGCATTTTTGTAACTATAATCTGGACCAAAATATCAATTGATATAATGAAACAGTTTTTAATCATATGTTAGCATTTATATAGATTTAATATTCTATAAAAAAATTTTCTTACCTGCTGATATCAGTAACAGATATGACGATATAAAAAATGTGTTAAATAGAAAAATCATGTCTTTCTCCAATAGTTTTTTTAACCGAAGAAATTCTAAACTCAAACGTTTATTTTCAAAAGTTGTCGATAGTAATGCTAAATTTTACCTATAGAACACTGTTTGTCGAGTGAATGTTAATGTAATTTCGATAATCTTATCTTTATAATTACATACAAAAATTAAAGACAGCCTTCAAGTGAACTTAACAACAAATAGCAAGTTGGCTTTTTTCTTGTAATATTTCCGTTACATATTTAAATTATTAACCAACTCGTATTGAATATTTTTCTTCGTGATCCTTTAATAATGTTGAAAAGAACATTATCATCACTTTATATATTTATGTCAAGCTTAATAGTGTTTTTAAAATTCTGATTTCAATAAATTAATACGAATAACTTAAAATAGCGTTTATAATATTTATGATGTTTATAAATATGTAAAAAAAAAATTAAATTTATCATTTTTAGGTAAAATCAAGAATTGTAAATTTTATTATGCTGCAGTTAGATACTTTATTTCAAGTTGTTTATTTAATAAGCTAAATAATATTTGTTCCTATCGAATTAAATACAAAGAACTGTCCAATAATTAAATTAGACGATCATTTTTACTGTTTAATATTTTCCGTGTATTATTTACTGTTTCATTAATCGGAACCTTGAACAGTGAGTCGAGTTCTGCGATTATTACGTTGTTGAAGCGGTCGATTATTGTGATCGTCGTCATTCAAAAGTTTTAATGTATGAAACAGTTGTAGCTGTATAGAAATATAAAAATATGAAATATTAATGATGGACGATAAATTGAAGGTATTAATCGAATGAAAATAAATTTTTAAGTCTACTTGTTCCTCAGTAGCGGGAAATATTTTGTCAGATATCATCCACATGACAGATTCGGTGCATGGCGGATGTGTCAACGATCCGTGGTAAATTAAAAAATTCACAGCATCAGATGATTGGTAAAGAATTCTTACTGAAAATGGTTCAATTTCGGTCTCGGTTCCTGGCTCTATAACTTCAGGAATTTTTTCGGTGATTTTTGTCAGGAATTTGTGTTCCTCCGTACCTATTTTCTGATAATTATAAAATTATCTACATTAAAATTTATTTTTATGGCAGCCTTTTTAAAACTGAAAAAATATTAATGATTGATAATTTACAAAAAATGAAGAATGAATCATTATTCCTCTTCCATATTCCAGGGCGTCCTCAAAGCTATCAAATTCAAAGTCGACATGAACGAGTTGGACTTCCATTGGAAAACTAGTACAGTCGATAATTATATTATAATATTAATTTAATCACTGATTTTATAAATAATACCTCTTGTCTCTAAGACGATGTTCGCTTCCAGATTTGAGATCGGAACCCCAACGAAATTGTATGGAATGCAAAATAAAATCACTATCGAGTGCATTACCATGAACTTTAGGTATCTTCTCTTCGCCATCAGCCCATTCGTAAATTATTTTCACTTAAAAACGTTTGAAATAATTATACAACATTACCTTAAATAAAAAAAAAAAAAGAAAAAAAATTAGCTTGATAAACCCTAGACTGGTCACCTCTATTTTAGTTTCTCGCCTGCACTATAGCGAGTCTCTATAGGTTGAGTAGCTGTTAGGCGGCGTCATGCTCATCGGGTGACCAGTCTAAGGTTTAAAACAATAAATCTCTTCAAAATTATTTTTTTGGTTTAAGAATTTCTCTTTTGATTCAAGTTGAATTTTTTTTCACTGCATATAAAGTATTAGAAGTTGTAAATAAATAAAAAATTCTAACGTGTATGGCCATCGTTTTTCAAAATCATTCTTTCAGGTAAAGTGTCATAATTTTCGAAATATATTTCGTTGATTGAACTACTAAGTTTGTCCTCAATATCATAATTTTCTCCGACATCAAGAGGTGATTGCTCCATACCACCACATTCGGGAAATTCATTTTTCCAGTCATTGGCATTGCTATAACTATAATCTGTACAATTTTTGTTAAATAAAAATTGTACAGATTATATCAAACAATAATTAAAAATTCAACAGCTTTGCTGTTGGATCCACTGTTTGTATTAAATTAATAAATAAATAAATAAAAACAGTATACTCAATTCTTACCAGCAGATATTAATAACACAGATCGTGATATCAAAACAAAATTCAATATAGAAAAAATCATTTTTCTCGTTAATTTATTACGTTTGAAAAATTTAACAGTCCTTTTATTTTTAAAGAATGTTTATTGTCATTGCAAACCGTTCTTTATAAATTCACAAATTTTATGCAATAAGTAACTTATCGTCATAATTATATTTGTCGACTACGAATAACCTTCATTGTAATAACATTTAATTTCCAATATCGCTACGAATTATCTAAACTAATTTTAAGTAAAACATAGTTTGTTATCACATCAATATTTTTACCAAGTATTGAATTGTTACACAAACTTTAAAAAAATAAAAAATTAATTTTCATAAATCGTAAACTTTTTTGTCTTGTAAAAATTACATTCTAAAAAAATAATTATTTTATTGAAGAAATTCGAGGCATGATATTCTTCAAAAACTTCTCCCATCACGAAAGGTTCAATTTCGGTAGCGGTTCCATCAGGCTCTTTAACTTCCAGGAAAATTTATCGATGAACGTTAAAAATTTAAATTCTTCGGATTAAATATAAAAATCGTCTTCGGTTGAATATCTAATTTTTTATCATTATTGCTAACAGTCACTTATTAAAAACATATTGCAGAACATGTGTAAAATTGGAAAACTCTAGCAGTAATGATAACTTATCTTAATAATTGTAACAACGAATAGCAAGTTGGCTTTTTTCTTGATGATTAAAGAATATTTATTTTTATAAAATTTCCGTTACATATAAAAATTCTTAACCAACTCTTATCGAATATTTTTCTTTGTGATTCTTTAATAAAGTTGAAAAAAAAACATTATCATCACTTTTTACATTCATGTCAAGCTTAATAGTGTTTTTAATATTCTGATTTCAATAAAATTAATACTTATAACTTAAAATAGCGTTTATAATATTGATGATGTTTATAAATATGTAAAAAGAATTAAATTTATCATTTTTAGGTAATATCAAGAATTGTAAATTTTATTATGCTGCTGTTAGATACTTTATTTCCGGTTATTTATTTACTAAGCTAAATAATATTCATTTCTATCGAGTTAAATAAAAAGAACTCTCCAATAATTAGATGATCATTTTTGCTGTTTAAAATTATACGTATGTTATTGATTGTTCACCATATTCAACACCCAGAATAGCGATTCGAGTGTTGCAATCATTACGTTGTTGAAGCGGTCGATTATTGTGATCGTCGCCATTTAAAAGTTCTAATGTATGGAACAGTTGTAGCTATATAAGTCTAAAAATATGAAATATTAATGATGTACTATAAATTATAGGTATTAATCGAATGAGAATAAATTGTTAAGTCTACTTGTTCCTTCGTAGCGGAAAATACATTGTCGGATATCATCCAAATGACTGATTCAGTACATGGCGGATGTGTCAACGATCCGTGATAAACTATAAAACTATTACCATTCGATGATTGGTAAAGAATTTCCGCCGAAAATGGTTCAATTTCAATCTCGTTTTCTAGCTGTATAACTTCAGGAATTTTTTCGGTGATTTTTGTCAAGAATTTGTGTTCCTCAGAACCTATTTTCTAATAATTATAAAAAATTTTATCAACATTAAAATTCATTTTTATAAGTAAGCCTCCTTAAAACTGAAAAAATATTAATGATTGATAATTTACAAAAAATGTAGAATGGATCGATCGCTAAATTTTCTCGTTGCAAGAAAGTTAACTTTGAAATATAAAGTTGTAAAGTAAAAATTATTTTTTTTCAATCTCTTAAGATGCTTATCTAACTTTTATTTTCAGTTTAATCGATTACTAAACCAATTTTTGTTTAATAAGACACGTTAATTGGGAAATAGATTATTAGAAAAAATAAAAAATTATAATTTTTATTCTGTATTTTTATAGATAGTTTCATATGGCCATTTATGACAATCTTTTTACAGGCCTGTCCTCAAATAACCAAATATCAAATCATTAAATTTTGACGCACTAACGCCCACACTAGCATGTTGTGTCGTCATAGAATTTTGAGGTAACGATCGTCAGTTAATTTCGCGAAGTCATCGCTAAGTACTAAACAGGCGTGTGCGGGTTGTCAGAATCTATTCTCGTCATTGGGTGATATGATGTGGGAGCTAATACATAATATAACAATAATAATATTTGATTTTATTTGTATTGAAAATTACCGATATATAAAGAATCGGTTGGTTGTAGATAAAATAATTGTGAATGAAGTTGGTGTGTAGATAGCTTTGGTTCATGAATGGACAGTGAATACATTAGAATTTAAACACGCGCCACGGGATCTCTGTTTGAGTGAAGAACGATTGGTAGGCAGGCTGAGGAATAATAAGTTTGTGAGTAATATAATACAATGGTGATTCAACATTATTAACGATTTAAAATAATTGTTTTATTGAAAAAACCATTTGTCATTTTAGTTTGACACTTTAAAGCTCAATTAAAATTGAATGAGTCTTCAAATTTACCGAGCAAGTTAATTACAATCCAATTCGATTGATAATGATGACGAGTATTTAAGAATTTTTAAAGAAATTAATGAATAATTAATGATTCATTAGAAAGAGAGTATAATTTTATGTTAGAACTGACGTGGTTAAAATCTCGGTCGAGTAACATAAGTGGCCTGAAGAATGAGCAAAAAATAAATGAGCGGAGTGGTAAGATCTGAGATGCAAGATGTAAGATGGCTTTAAATAACAGATAAGAGGCATATCTATATACTGGAGTAGCAAGTCTCTGAGAGAGTGAAGATGGGGAGTGTCGAGGTGCGTTTAAGGATCGGATGAACGCGACGAAACCGCAAATTAAATTAGCGTCTCGCGGAACGACCAACGACGTGCTGCGAGTACCGCAAGAAAGCGTTTGCTGACCGCTGCTTAACCCGGCTTAATTACCAATTAGCCAATAAAAACCCACCAGTCACCAGTGAAACTGCAGGCAGTGTTATGGTCGAAGCTTTCCTGAGCGTTTATATCTCTGGGATCCTTTTTTACCCATGCAAAACCCCAAAGGCTTCTTATATTCCTACTTGGCTACTCAAGAGTTAAGCTTACAAGTATAATATCATGGTGCTGTGAAGATATGTATGTGCATGTGCCCACAGAAGCGCGCTACGGGTGAGAAAAACGAACCTGTATATAATTACCAGCGGCAAAACATCACTCCCAGTCCCATCGGACGACAGGGAGTTATAGTTATTATTGTTTTTATTTTTATTCGTTTATTGGGTGTACAATATGAAAAAAAAATAATAATTTCATTATTTTTACGAAATAAAATATTTAAGAAATTTCATATGAACATATATGGCTCAATATTTCCTAATTAGACTTAAAACGACCATATGTTACTTTTTAAACAAAGTTAGTTCTGAAAATATCCGACAGGTGGCGCATGATCGCCGATTCGTCTCACTACAAGAAACTTGACTTTTAATTATCAAGTTATAAAATAAAAATAATTTTTTAATATTCTATAGAGCTTATCTGAGATTGTTTTTTTGGTTCAATCAACTGAACCAATTTTTGTCTGATACAATATGCTAGTTGACGTTTATATATCCAGAAAAAATAAAACAATGTAATAAATTATTTTGTTATGGTCATACATAACCAGATCAGACCATATATCATAGCCATATAACAAAATTTTTTCACGGTTCGTCGGATACAATCTCGTTTTTAAGTATTATTTTTGTTATGGAGATAAGGTGAAGGGGCAAAGGACAAAGATCAGATCTTAGAGTCTTAGAGACGTTTCGACTTAGAGATCAAATATTTGTTTATTTTTTTTATTCGAGTCACCTCGTGATATTACGACTTTAGTTCGACACCCACGTAGTTTCCGGTCTCCTCCTCTTCCTGGGAAGAAAGAGTATCATCTGAGGGGTGTGTGAGCAAGCGTGGATCTCATCCGTGGCTTGATAACCCGCAAGAAAGCAAAATAAATGTAAATAATAGAATAAATAAAATAAAAAATGTAAGAAAAAATAAGGGAGTAGGAACGCGTCCCCTCGATGCACCTCGCGGGTCCTGATAATTGCCAGTGCTCTCAAACTGTTATTATTAAGCCGATATTTTACCGAGGGGACACACGTTCGCGCATATAATTTGCAAAAGCCTCTAATTATGGGTTAGTGGCACACACAGACCCGGGAGAAAAGCACGTAAGTGTCTAAGGATATGTCGAGAGTGGAGAGGAAGAATTAAATAAAGAAATGGCCAGTGAGTAGGTGACTGGGGAGGAAACGAAGAAGAGAAAAAGGGCGAGGCGAGCGTCTTAACTCCGTTCGCCTACGCGTCAAAAACTTTAAGTTCCACTCCTTTATACTTTATTATTAGCAACCTGTTGTTGCTGTTTTATTTTTTTTTTTAATTCTCTTATGTACTTTTATTCAACCCGTTTATTTTGTTGTTTTCTCAGACTAAATACTCTTCTTGTATGGTAAAAAATTCTCGGAATAAAAATAACTAAATATATAATTATTATTTTGATTTTTTATTTTTATTTGTATCGTCGTCAAAGGTGGCCCAGGATCATCACATGTGGGATCTATGATTTGTCGTCATGATAGGTGAGATCATTATGGGACCACTATGAGAATGTGTTGCTATTTGTATTTGTCTGTACATATTTAGACTGACATAAATATTATGTATGTATAGTGAAGGATGAAGACCAAAATAAAAAAACAAGAAGATGAAGATGAAGATGAAATAAGTATCATTATATTTAAAGCAATGTCGAATATGATAATAAATTATTGAGAGATCAAAGATTGATATTTTTCTATTATTCTGTTACATAAATAAATTCATAAAAATAGTATGTACGTCGATATTATTTTATATAAATACAGAGATCATTATCAGGGCGATTGTTTAGAATAAGTGTTTTTACACCATTTTACGGCAGAGGGTGAAAGATTTAACTAAGAATGAAAGTAGATAGTAGTGACAATAAAAATTAAGGTACCGGGTCCATTGTACTCAAGTTTTGAGTCTCGAGTGATGCGAGTTTTTATGAGTAAATAATAATAAAACCTCCCTGAAAGTTTTCTTTGGTGGTACATGGATATTTATCAGCAATTGATCTCAAGCTTGCGATGGTCCTTGCTTTGACAGTACGCTCAATATTATTATACTATTATTTGTGAGGTTATAAATGATTGTTGAGGTTACTATTACGCATTTTATGTGAGTATAGAGGCATTTTTTCGGTGCCCGGGACACAGGGCTGGAACCCCGGCGGCGCTATTGACTGACGGGTGCATTGGGACGCTTTTGAGAAATAAAATTCGAGATTGTAGGAGCAGCGAAAGTGAAAAATAGCCGAGTAATATACGAGGAATAAAAATAAAAGGGAAAATGTTATTGATCTTTTTAGGTGTCCTAGTAAACGCCTTATATGATTGTGGTTATGGTTATGGTACTGAGGACTATAGTTTATCGCTTAAATCACGCCCTAATCATTTTACCGTGGTGTAGGGCGGTATTATATTGTGCTGGAGATAAGCCATCTCGGGTCGCGTATAAATGATCGCTATCGTTTTATAAAAAAATATTAAGTACTGAAATACTTTTTTTTATTCTTATAATTGATTCCAAGGAAAATTTATTGTAGTGAGGTAAGAAGTTTAGAAGGTCCAACACACGCCTAAATTTTCGTGTTAAAAAAATTAATTTTTTTATTTTTTTATAATTTATCATTTTGAGTATAATTTTTATTATTAAAAAAATTATATCAACAAGTCTGTTAAAAAAATAATTAAATAATTTTTAAATATTGTTAATGAATAATAAGGCGTAATAATAATTTTATAAAATTTAAAAGCTCTAAAAAATAAAATCAGGAAATAGATAAAATGAAAATAATTCCTTGGATGGTTTTTACCAGAGAAAGTTTGTAGACTCTAAGTGTAACAGCTCATACGTGGACAAGATATGAACGTGATACGATTTATTGATACAAGCCTCTACTCAGTAGAGCTGAGTTTCAACCAATAACACTCAATTAAACAGAACGACTAGTATAGACGTAAGCGCGAAAAGAAATTGCGTGGGATCTGAATTGGATCTTATCATATTTACATTGAGTATCATATCAAAGGATTTTATCACAAATAAGTAGTGCATGGCTATCAGGAGTCAGCAGTAACAAGTAACTTATGAGCTCGTTCAAAAGTATATTATATTATATTATACATAGTAATATTAAGTACATATGTCGAGCTAACCAGGAAACACATGTCACCTATAATGTAACACATAATAATATAAATACTTTCATTTAATAATTTTGAACCTGCAGCCAATTCCGAGTGACTTTGTCATCTCTAGCTTTAGCTTGACTGTCCTTACGGCCAATAAAATAAATACAAATAATAAATAACTATAAACGAACGAGTGTATTTATAATAATGTATGAAAAAAGGTGACATGAGTCAAGGCAATCTTGATGAGACACCAGAATGAAGTGAAGGCACACAATCTTTTATAATATTATAAGGATCGCGTGGGTGTGTACCAGGCATTTAAATCCAAAAGAAATAACTGTGTAAAATCAATTACATCTCACCGAGCTCGATGACTAGGCGTGGTACTGACTAATAGAATGGTTTCCAAACCTCCTTTATCATAATAATAATCATTAACATCCCTAAAACCGGTTGAAGAAAGAGCGTGATAAAATTTTGCTATTTCATCTCTTGAATCGGCTTGGTCTTCACCGTCACCATCCTCGTCATTGAATCAAGTATTTTCATCCACTTATCCTCGGTGTATTTTTACTAGCTACCACTTTAAAAACATAGTCCGACTTATGTTTACCAACAGTCCAGATTCAACGAGCGAGCCGAGTAATAATTACAATGGTACAGGATTGAATCGGGACTTGATAATTCATCCGAGGATCCTCGAGAATTATGCAGCTCGTCTGTAGCAAGTCTGGGTACCTTGACACGATATCCACATCGTAAAGTCACCTCTGGAGCCCGTACTGCCCGGTATCCCCGACTATTATACGCCATAAGTCATAATCATAACTACTATGAAGATAATATGAAGGAAAGTAGTTGAGTGAAGTAGGAGAAGATGAAGAAGAAGATCGTTGAGAGAGTTAGCGGTTTGTTTGTTTTCTGGTGGGCGGGTCTTGGACCCGTGACCGAGGAGCGGGTCCTCCGGTTAAGGCCTCGCGAGAGATCACCAGCCCCGAGCTGCAAGTCACGAGCCAACAATAGTACAAATAATAACAAGCATGAGTCCTGAGTAGTCTAAGATGCTGTTTTGTTGGATCGGTACCGGTGCCCGGGCAAGAGGAATTTTTTTAGCCAGACATAGCAGTTATTCCAATGGCTACCACGCTACGTGCTTATGCTTGTAGTATTGCTTATTGTTGGTTCGCTTATTCACCAGCATCTTCCCACAGTCACCTTATCCTCATGGCACTAAATTATTTCGGAGAGACGTAGACGTAATTGGGGTAAAACTTTTGGGAATAACCGAAAGTACTCTCGGGCCAGAATTACTTTTAATAGGGACAAACTGTTTTGCGGACAAACTCTTGTTTTTGAGCCGCTTGGAGCAATAGCTGGCGTGCGTTAGTTCTTCATAAGTGTATTATATACTGGATATTCCCATAGAGGTAAGTCTAAAGCTGAAGACAGAGCTCAGACCAGAGACCTAAAGGTTTTAGTTGTTTGGCAGCAGCAGTAGCGAAGCAGGAGTTGCAGAAGCGAGTCAGCAAGCCGCTGGCCACGAGACCGTGCAATGCAACCACCGAGAAACAGTACTACCGTCATTGCCGGTCGGAGCAGGCCCACCCACAACGCACGATCTCTCCGCGAGCGGTTTTGCTACCGGTATTGAATCCAGCGCATTGTTTTTGCCCCGGTCATGAGTATACGGAAAGGATTATTTGCATCTCGAGCCACCGACTTGTCCATACATATATATATATATATATATATATATATATATATATATATATATATATATAAATTTATATACATACATATATAATGCCCGGGGATATGGAAGCTGTAGCTGCTGTCGCGATTATATAGTCCCGGATGAAATAACTCGATATATATTGTAGATTATGTACTTGCTTCTTCAAATAGTTCCATCATATGTATTCCAGTGATTTGAGGAACGAAAAAGTGGAATAGAATTTAAATTAAAATAATATACATGGAATCATTTCTTAGGAGAATACAATTTTAAGATCAAAATTTGCTTGGTCACGCATTAAAAGCAGAGCGGTCGCGTTATGAGGCGTGCAAAAGTGTAATATTGACAAAAAGAAAGGCGGAAAAGAGGAAGATGGTGTATTTTGTATTGGCGAAGAAGCAGAGTCTTCTGTACCCGGGTAATGGCACCTAATACGGGCACGTAGGCATATACGACACCGCGAAGACGAATAAGAGAATGAGAATAAAAAGAATTAGTTGGGAATAAGAATAAAAAATAAGAACAAGTAGAAGAAGTATAAAGAGTAAAATAAGAGTAAGAACGAATACAAGAAGAGGAAGAATAAGAATAAGAAGAAGGTATAGTTTATAGTGATTACATGGGGTCAGGTCCCAGCAATAAACCATGCCACGGTGGCCGTACCACTCTTGGTGATGGTGCTCTGGCCACTTCTCTCTTCCAGATTCTTCCTCTCTCCCTCTCGATCTTTATTTGTGTGCATCAGCAACAGAAACAGCAGCATCCTCTTGAGAGGAGCTGGATGATCGGCTGGGAGCCTTCCCGAGAAAAAGCTGGAGGACAACGCGCCTACGCCAAACCAAAGCTAATTTAAAAACCCGGACGATATAAGAGTTGGTGTACAAAAAAAGTGGAAAAGTGTCTCGTAGCCCACTCTCGGAGGATATTTATACATGTAAGGATAAGCCGAGAGGCGAGAGGGAAAGGAAGGAGGAGGGGGACGCGGCAACACCGGGAGCCATCCTACTGGAATTTAAATAATAATTATAGTGTTTAATATCATACGAGGGAGCCGAGGGTACCCACGTCCCTCCTCATACCTCCAGACTCTCAGATCCTCGGCCAGCAGACGTACCGACTCTCTAGATAATATAATATACTTTATACTTTATACTATATACAGGAGAATAAAAAGAGTTTAAGAGCCAGCAAACGGCGACCAGGAATCTCTCACCTCTCACCATACAAGTAATTCGTCGCTCGGTAGCAGTCTCAGTTAATGGCACGTTGTGCGCTCGCATAAGACTGTCTGGCTCGATCAAAATGTTTATCAAATTATCATCAATTTGGTGGGGCCTCGTTTTTGCTTATTTTTATATCCCATTTGCGTTCAGCGTACCATACTAGCGCTCGGCGTTGCACTTTTGGAATGTTATTTGATACTGGGATCCAGACTAGCCAACCAGATATAATCATTCTCTTTTTAATACATGCCACAGTGATTGAATTCGTCAAAAATTTTTTTTGCTTATTAACTATTATACGGTTTATTCTTATAGCAAATAAATTCGAGGCAATAATTGACTTAAAAATTTACAAAAAAAATTACAGAAAGATCCAAAATTTTTCTGCTCATTCAAGATAATCAAACACTTTAAAATTACGTTCTTGGTTGAAGATTTTTTAACTCAAATCAAGTTAATTTTTTTATCCGCTTAGATGATGACTAATATTAAATTGTAAATAAATAAAAACATGATAGATTTGTTTTGATTTAAACGGCAAAATGATATCCGTGACTCACCACTGTGCAGCAGGACTTCTGTTCGAATGTGTTAATAAAATAAATTAGCTGAAATGCGTGGATGCGTTAATGAATTTAGAACCACCCGTAAAGCGTGAATAAGCTACCTTGGCAAAAGACGTACGTCGCTTCTGTTAAATGTAAAATGTGTATTACAGTGACAGTGTATGATTAAAGTGTGAAGCTTTAAAAAGTGTTTTGTAAAGTAATAAGTTGCGATTCGTTCCTGCAACCGGTAGTTCTTAATCATCATTATTCTTCTTCATATTACAGCTTAATGCCACCTTTGCTACTGCCTTTTCTGCTGGCTGCTATACCATACTATATAAAGTTGTGACTCTACGAGACAATATGTAATTCGAAGTACTTTTCTCATTCCCTGTTCGTTTGATGCATCGGTATAGTAGTAGCTTAACTTAGACGCTCCAGTTTCTCATCTGATTGCAAGAGCAATCAATCGTTTATGTGTTCACGGCAATTATACATAAACACGCTGTAAATTAAAAATGTATTTTCAAGGAAGACCACACTGTCCGTTGATGTATCAATATATATGTATGATAAATAATAAGTGTTTAAGTATATAAGTTTTTAAAATAATTGCCAGATGAATAAATGCAACGACATGAAATAGATAGAGTATATGCAGTCTAGACTCGTGTGTGCTCAAGATGATTGGATGACTGAAGTTAAAGGTCACATGTTGAGGCAGCTGCTTGGGTAGAAAGTTTAACAGAGTAAAGAGTATCCGGGACTGATAATAGCGTTTGATAGACATCGTATACCGGATTGAATCCAAGGTAAAAGGATCCCGGTAGTTGTGATCGCTTCTCAGATAATGATCCCACGGAATCCAGCTGTTTTATTTTATTTTTAAAATCACATAATTATGGATATAAAATATAAATAACAAGTGAATATTCTCGTGAAGAGGAATCTGAATCGAGCCAGTAACTTTTATTTAAGTCGAGATGGAAAATTCTTACTTACACTGTTCTTTATCTCAAATGAGAGCTTGTTATGTAGCCCTTATTATACCGAGAGACGCCGGGAAAAAATACTCGGTAAAGTACCAGACAGATAATCTGGCTATTAGAGGTGTCCCTCGTGAGCCCGAGGGTCGAGTGTCGATGGTGGGTCATCGGGTCGTCGATAGTCTTCATCAGGGTTAGCTGATGGCTCGTAGTAGTATGTTGCTCAGCACAGGGTCTATCACTAAGTTTAGTTTGTCCTCCAACTCAGCTCCTTTTATTCCTTCAGTGAATCGACGTGTCCCTTCAATTTGTTCCGACAGACTACTGGACATTTTTTTTTACGGAGGTCCTTATCCCCAAAACCGCCTAACCATCATCCACCATACCACGTTCTTTCTTGTCGACTGGATGTACCTTCCTTGGTCATCAGTACAGACGACTCCCTTCGTACTCAGCAAACTGAATCACGTTGATTGACTGTCCGGTAGAGCTGACCAGGGCACCGCAAAAAAGGGATGAAATTTATTTTTATCCCGCAATCAACTTGACTAAAATTCTCGATTGAATTAATCATTTCATCAAGCCGTCTCATTATTTTACTTTAAATTATTATTATTATTATTATTATTTTATTGAAAAAAAAAACAAAAAAGCTGTCTGAATAGTGTTTGACAGGCTGTCCAAATATCGCCACTGGCGCATCACAACAACGAGTAGAGTCTATAGTTGTTGCACGAACGTACGCATGCATACCGATCTCCAGTGTACTCATATAGCTCCCGGGGATTCATCGGTACTCTGGACATGACACAACCACTAGAATATATAGATGACGTGCCGGAGAGTAGAGGCCAGTCATTGCTCAACGATTGTCCGCTCTGTAGGCCTCACTGTACAGTAGAAAAAAAATAAAAAAAAAATCCACATATGAGAGAAAGCAAATGAAAATAAAAAATAGAATTATTTTAGCATCACCAACATAAAATGACAAATGCAAAATAGACGAAATTGACGTGACAGTTTTGGCAGAGAGTCATTCGGATAAATCAATGTTTGTTATATGTGCTTCCGTTTTTAAGTTGAGCGTCATTCAATTTGCTGTTTGTAATGGAAATTCTACTGATTGAGTGCCATTGATCATCGAGCAATGTAATTACCAATTTGGTGTCTTTATTTTATTTTCTTTTTTTTTTTTTTCATTACGCAGTACTATTATTTATGTATACTTAAAAGTTTTTTAAACAATATGTCTAGTCGGTATAAATCAATATAAAGAGGCATTAAAAATAATAACGCGGTGTATTGACAAATAAAATGTGAA